CTGGGAAGAAAACAATGGATGAGACCGATCAGGCTATTGAACGCACTAAAAAGGTGAAGAACGAACTTCTGGATTTAATCGTTTCTGCCCCTTTGTTCTAATGGTTAACTTCGGTCCATAGGTGGTTGAACAAACTATTGAAGTGGGAACTCAAACTGCTGTTACATTAAAAGGCCAAGTATGTTCATCGTTGAAATTACACCTTATGGTTAAAAGTATACTTTCCTATCTGACCTGATTATTAGAATTCCCCAGGTATTCCCTTAACTTTTCCCAATTAAATTTTCAGACTGATCAAATGGGCCGTATAGTGAATGAGCTCGACACGATTAATTTTTCGATCAAGAAGGCTTCCCAGCTTGTGAAAGAAATTGGCAGACAGGTAAGCCTACCTTATGGCCCTCGCACCCCGACCGCCCAGAAAAACACATTTTTTGATCTCCTAACTGGGACTAACTTCCCCTCCCCTCCCCTCCTCTTTTGGAAAGGTTGCTACAGACAAATGCATCATGCTGTTTCTGTTCCTAATTGTTTGTGGAGTGATAGCCATAATCGTTGTTAAGGTAAATTCTGCAGTTTATTTTGTTCAACAAAACCTTGAAAGAAGAAAAGTTCCATTAAGCGTATTCAAATTTAGTGTCTTTTGCAATAACAAGTGATGTAAATTTTCAGATTGTGAACCCCAACAACAAAGACATCAGGGATATTCCTGGATTGGCACCGCCCGTTCCCGCCAGGAGGCTTTTGTATCTGAGGACACCTGAACATTTCGAGTAAATTCTTGCCTTAGAAACAGGTAGATCTTCGTTGTTCGGTCGTCTACTTCGAGTAAATTCTTGCTTAAAGCCATCGAGAGACACGACATTGTGAGAGAATTCTTCTGCTTTGCTTTGCTTTCCTTTCCTTGTATGCAATTCAATCTATTCTTGGCTGAGATGTGCATAGAGCTTGGTATGTTATATTAGTTTTTATTTGAAGAGAAAACTACAATGTGTTCCTGTAAATGTTTTACTTTGAGGTGATTCATGTCTTTGCGGATTTTACCCACTTGACATTGTTTTGTACACTAAGTCATTGTGTCTAACAGCATATGAATTCCATTCCCACTGCCCAGTGGTTGATAGTTATTCTATTTTTATTTGTATACTCTGTTTCAATTACTCTCAGATTTTCTCATATTTAGACTATGCACAATTATTGCCCTGCATAAGTTACTAGATTGTACCAACTATATTTCTTGTAACAAAATATAAATGGTCTCTTGCCTCATTCCATGCATTAAAACTAGTTACTTAGAAATATTCATTTAGCCTACCGGAACGAAAAAATGGAGAGCGGAGAGCATTTTTCGCCGTTAACTAGATTACTTAGATCTAGAAATGTTCATTTAGTCTGCAGGAACGAAAAAATAGAGAGAGCGGAGAGCATTCTTTGTTGTTAACTAAATTACTTATATCTAGAAATGTTCATTTAGCCTACAGAAACAAAAGAATGGAAAGGGAGTGGAGAGATTTCTTGACGTTAATTTGTTACATAGATCTAGAAATGTTCATTTAGCCTACAGGAATGAAAAAATGGAGGGAGCGGAGAGATTTCTCTCCGTTAACTAAATGAGACTTGAATGAAGAGAGGGAGCGGAAAGATTTCTCTCCGTTAACTAAATGAGACTTGAATGAAGAGAGGGAGCGGAAAGATTTCTCTCCGTTAACTAAATGAAACTTGAATGAAGAGAGGGAGTGGAAAGATTTCTTTCCGTTAACTAAATGAGACTTGAATGAAGAGAGGGAGCGGAAAGATTTCTCTCTGTTAGCTAAATGAGACTTGAATGAAGATTATATTCTTCGTTCTACTTTATATTTATATACATCAAAACTATGCATAAAACTAACTAATTATATATATATATATATTTCTTGACTTTTTAAAGTGTCGGAAAACTACCCGTAATATTAAAAATTGAATTTTTTGAAAATATATTATATATTGTTATATTTTTATCATTAAATTCATATTATTTATTTAGAAAATATACATACAAAAACCAAATATTTTTCATGAGAACCAACCCCACCAAATTAAATATATTATATCCAATAATTTGTTGTAACCACCTTGTGAGTTGTGGAAATATGAGAATGGGTATAAGGGAATCATTAATCATTTAACTTTAATAATGTAATGGATGCCAACGCCGCATGGGAGGATACCAAATTTTAGACCAATTATTTCCTAAATCATAATAATAAACATAGCCCAATTACTTGTTATAAATATTATATAATATTTTCATACAATGTACATTCATTACGAGTTTAATAGTTCGATCTCCATCTTATAATTTTGAAACTCAATAAAATAAAATTTAAAAGAAAAAAAAAAAAAAAAAAAAAAGACGATGACCTAGTGCTAACGGAAAAGATCCTTTATTACTAGGTTTGATGCTTTTCGATGGAGATCTCCAAAATAACTGTTTATCACGAAACCCTTTATCTAGTGTACTATCTATCATTCAAGTTTTTCGTATGACAATCCAGATACCTCATATATATACATATATATATAGCATCAATTTTCATCTTGCATTTATCATTTACTTTACAAGTTTAGAAAGGACATCGTCACTTTGAAACAAAGTATTAAATTATCTTAAATTGTAGCCTTTCTTACGAAAATGGTAAGACAGGCAAAGGCAAAACATCCCACAAAACCCCAGCAGTGTTTCCTTGTTCTGTTCATAAATGGAAAACATCAAAAGCTTGATTTAAGTAAAACTTGATCGCCATTAGATTGACTGTTTTTGTTCATAATGAACACACCAAGGTTTGTAAAAGCTGCCGACAAAACGGGCCTCAATCATAGAGACACACACAAAAAAAGGAAAAAAAAAACAGAACAAAATCCCTATTATCCTTGCCGTTCCGGCTTTGGCTAACAAAACTATGGCTGAAAAGATTCTTGCCAACTGCCTACTAAGCATGCAATGTGCCAAAGTAATAGAGGTATACCTACTAAGCATGCTATGTGCCAAGGGGGAACTCGGTTGGTAAGGGTTTGGAGTCTCTTGGTTTTACTAGCTTTAGAGGTCTCGAGCTTCAACTTCTCGATGAGCTTAATACCAAAAACTCTCGATATTTCCTCAATCTGTACCTTGAGGTGGGCAGGAGTGCCTTTGGGTATTGGGAACCTAAGTTTTGGTTCTTGATTGTTAAATAAATATTCTACTTTAACTCGAGTGTCCACGTCAGCTTGACACTATTACATTTAGTTGTTAAGATAACTCGTAGGTAATCATAACTCAACTAATTAATGTATATACATACTTAACTAAAAAGTCAAAAGTTCAAATTCACTCACTCCTCACGTTAAGTTTAATTCTTGAAATTTTATATTAGTAAGTTAATATGAATGCTATTTTAAGTCATGCAAGTTAGAGATATACATTTGGCACTAATAATAATAACAACAATAATAATATAGCAAAGGGCAAAATAGTAATTTAATAAAGTTATGGACCGAAATAACATTTAGAAAAGTCATGAACAAAATTGAAACAAACTTAAAAGTTAAAAGACCCAAATGAAACTTTGTAAGTCAAAATGGTATTTAAACTTATATTAATCATGTTCATGAAAAGATAAAGAAAAATAAAATAGCGAGCGAGAAGAGATTTCTCTCTGTTAACTTAAAGAGCATGAAATTTATATTTTCTATCTCATCTTCCGCCCACCTATCATTTATTTATTTATTTAAATGTTGAAGACTTTGTTATAATTTTTAAGATTGTGTCGATAGAAACCTTGTATTATATTTTTTTCTTATAAATATTATTAAATTTATTCGGATGATTTATATTTTTTTAATAAAAAATATATCGAAGAATAAAAACTATTCCTTGAAAAGTTTATTTGAAAAAAATATTTTTTCATAGTATATATATATGTGTGAGAAAATTTCTCTACAAAAAAATCTCGATCCCAATCTTCTAAAAAATAAATGGAGAATATTTTAGAAATGAGAATTGAGAAAGGGACGAGAATATATATAAAAGTCTCGACCCCAACCTACAAAAAAAAAAAAAAATGGAGAATATTTTAGAGATGAGAATTGAAATAAGTGGCGAGAATAGGAACGGAAAAGACTTCCCCATTTTCGTTCCATGTCTAAGCTGGACGGGTAAATCGCTCCTAATCCTAACCAAGCATACAGGTAAAGGTAAAGAAATAGAGGTTTTTCTATTGTTGTGGAGTCTCCTTCCTTCTATAAGGCTTAAGGCATGGAGAGTGGTGGGTAAGTAAATGGGCAATTTCACGCTGCTGCCCTGTCTTTTCAGCCTCCAACCGCACCTTCCTTTCCTTTTGATTAATCTCTTCTTTTCTTCATCTTTCAAACACTACATAAATACCATTCCTTTTCTTCCTCTTTTTTTCTAAATTGATCTTTTACCTTTCATTTATCACATAAATTAAACACTAACCTCCCCTAAATCGATAGTCTCGTACTTTTCTCGCTGTTGTATTCTTTCAAATATTACAAAGATATTTTATCTTTGACCTTTCGTAAACATTTCAAGACTACTTTTGGAGTATACAAATCGTTAGAATATTGGACGACAAGTTAACATGTTTGGGTATAGTTCTTTCATATCTAATCCAAACAAGCGTCCTAGTCACCGTGATGGGATTTTTCGTCCAACATTCAAAAGGACGTTACTCCAAAATTGAAACATTTATGAAATATCAAAGGTAATATTGCAACTTTTAAAGTAATAGAAGTATTTTTTAACTAATGGACAAAGTTTAAGGATATTTACGATAATCTAGCCCTACAATCTACCTGCCTAAGTCCAAGTCCCATAGATATTTAACCACCAGAATGAAAACAAAGTTTAATATAAAATAAAACCGATTCTAAGTTGTTCTGCAGCAGTTGTCTGCCATCCTCCGAACTGATAGATTTTCTGTATTAAAGAATATATAATAATATGATACAGAAGAGAGACAAATTTGAAGATACAGCAAAGAAAGGAAGGTGGCAAGATGTTGTTTTTCATTTGATGCCTCTCTCTCTCTCTCTCTGAATGTAATGTAAAAACCAAGGCAAAGACATAGCCCATTTCCCTCTCTCCTCCTTCCTTCCTGGTTACCTACTACTGAAAACTCCATCCCATCCCACCACCATTTCATTTTTCTTCTTCTCCCTTTCTCTTAACTCGTTTAACCTCAGGAGAGGGCCTAGAAGCCAAGCTTGGGACAGCATTCCCAACAACATTTCTCTGCCTTCTACATTGGGAGTTTTTTCATTTGGGCTACCTCAACTGTCGGTTAATCTAAGGAGAGGAACTCTGGGAACTGCATACACTGTTTTCATTTTATCATCAACGCCCATTTATTCACTCATCCGGTAACTGAGTTTGCTACATTCATCAGAAGGTACTACTTATTCAGCAACGTTTTTTTGCTTCTTTGTATATTAGAGGAAAAGGAAATGGCGCCTGATCTAAACACAACACTTTCCAAGAAGACGTTTGTTTTTGGTATGAAGGTATGGGTATTTACTGGAGTCCTGGTGGGGGTGTTTATTGTAATAGTCCTTGTGGTGCTATCAATATGTGTTACTTCAAGAAGAAAGTCTAGAAGGGTAAGTGGCATGCTTCCTCTCAGCCGTATTTCCATTGCATCAAAGGAAATAAAGGAGATTGGGGTGGATCATGTTTCAGCAATCCAGCAGGGCCCCCGCCCCCATGATGGAATTGAAACGGAATCAGAAAAGGTTCTGCTATATTCAAACAAGGCCTACGATTACAGCATATCAGGCTCAGATGATCACACAGAGATATATGCTATTGGTTCTGGAGAAGGAAGCAAGGAAGCAAGTGCTTTGCATAGACCCTCAGATTCAATACCACCGGACACTTCGCCACTGGCTGGTCTGCCGGATTTCTCGCAACTGGGATGGGGTCACTGGTTCACCTTAAGAGATCTGGAACTTGCAACAATGCATTTTTCAAACGATAATATAATTGGGGAGGGAGGATATGGAGTTGTCTATCGAGGTCAACTTATCAATGGGACACCTGTGGCTGTCAAAAAGCTTCTAAATGTGTAAGTTTTCCTTGTTAACTAATATCGTATTTTCTGAGTGTTATTGGTTGGCTGTAACTTTTTTAAGGAAAGAAACCTAGTTTTCATGGAGAAATATGAAAGAATAACACAGACATACAAAACTTGTAAATGTAATGTGGGTTTTAACTTATATAGAGGACAAGCGGAAAGGGAATTCAGAGTGGAAGTAGAAGCGTTTGGGCATGTGAGGCATAAGAACCTAGTTAGGCTGCTGGGATACTGCATTGAAGGAACACACAGGTAATGCTATTGCATTTGATTGTTCCTCACTTGCTAGCTTAGATTGCTGTATACTAAATAGTAGATATTTTCAGGATATTAGTATATGAGTATGTGGACAATGGAAATCTAGAGCAGTGGCTTCACGGAGCTTTAAGCCAGTATGGATATCTCACTTGGGAAGCCCGAATCAAAATTCTCCTTGGTACTGCTAAGGCGTAAGTATATATATATATATATGTATATAACCTTCATTTGATCATTTGGCTGTCTCTTTTCTCCATTGAACTTAAGATTTCAATCTTTAATGGTTTTTTTCAGGCTGGCATATTTGCACGAGGCAATTGAACCAAAAATTGTACATCGAGATATCAAGGCAAGCAACATATTGATCGATGATGAGTTTAATGCAAAGCTATCAGACTTTGGGCTAGCCAAATTACTCGGTGCTGGGAAGAGTCACATTACCACCAGAGTTATGGGAACGTTTGGGTGAGTAACCAAACAGTCACTCTTAACTTGCTGCTTCTTCCATATTTTTGTTTGGGGATAAAACTTTCTGTTTTCTTTCTCGTCATAGATATGTGGCACCAGAATATGCCAAATCTGGGCTTCTAAACGAGAAAAGCGATGTTTATAGTTTTGGAGTGGTTCTTTTGGAAGCGATTACTGGAAGAGACCCTGTTGATTATGGCCGCCCAACACATGAGGTATTTGTTTCAGATAGCTTAGGTCATATTTGATAATCACTTTGTTTTTATTTCTGATTTTTTAAATAGAAGTTTATAAACACTACCCTATCTTTGTTTTTGTAATCAAAAAATTTTACCAGAATTTTGCAAAATCCTCCACGTTTGAAAACTTGTTTCTAAAAATTTGTTTAACATTTAAAATTTGGTTAAAAGTTCAAAGGTTTATTTACGAACGATGAAAAATATGGCAAAAAAACTTGAGATAAAACAAACTCAATTTTCGAAAAACAAATGGTTATCAAATGGGACCCTAGTTTCCCTAAGATTCATGTGGATTAGTTGGCAAACAAAACTCTAGAATTTGGAATTTGGATGCAGGTAAATTTGGTAGATTGGCTAAAGATGATGGTAGGAAGCAAACGATCAGAAGAGGTGGTAGACCCAAATATAGAGAGAAAGCCATCAGTTAGTGAACTAAAGCGAGCTCTTTTGACCGCTTTGAGGTGTGTGGATCCAGATTCTGATAAGAGGCCTAAGATGAGCCAAGTGGCCCGCATGCTCAACTCCGAGGAAAATCCAATTCCTCGACAGGTTGCTTTCATTCTCAAAACATTAATTCTTTACCAGCATTAGTTAACCTCAACTCACTCGCATTTCATCACAACTTACAGGACCGGAGACCCAGAAAGGGCCATGCTACTGCGACCAAAATGGAGTCTGGGAAACAGGAGAGAGGACCCAGAAGACACAAATAAGATAACAGACAATGAGACTTTCAAGTGTGAAAGAATGAATAGATGCAAAAAATAGAAGCTTGTAAGTTTCAAACTTCCAAATTCTCTGTTGGGATTGGTCACTCAAGTAGAGCTAGCAGGGAAGAGAAATGATTTGGAGGTGTTCCCAATCATTGTGTTAATGTACAGTTCCACAATTGCATTGATGGCTATGAAACAGGTCCAAAGTTTTTGTAACTTTTTTTTTTTTTCTTTTTCTGTTGGGGTGGCATTATCTCCTCATGTTGCCATTCGTGTATTGAATGGCTAATGTTCATGAGGATCGATACTAAATTTTCAGAGGTAGTGTATTCTAAGCTAGATCTCATTTCTAATCTTTACATTTGAGCTCTTTAATGTTTTCTTTGATACACTTCTTTTTTATAATATAACGATTTGGGCCTTGAATTCTTGAAGTATAACGATTAAGCCTTAATGATTTAGTATCTTGTAACGATTAAATCCCAATGCTAAAACTTAGATGATGCATGAATGTCAAATACTCAAATATCAAGCCCGCTTAGGATTCAATCTACGATTTGTTTTTCTCGTTTTAATATTCAGGACTAGACACAAACAGAAAATAAATAGAATGACAAAAATCTAAAAGAGAAATGATATAACGAATAAAATCAATATTGCTTTAACATCATTTTCTCTAACCTGGCCTCCTTGAAGAAGTTAAGATGGCGTGGTATGAAGAGCGGAGCATCCCTTTCTTGTTCCTCCAGTGGCGCGAATCCGCAACCCCTACCCCTCGTTCGCTTACCTAGAAGGATTATGCACTTGCAAGCATAAACTTAACCTAGAGAGCAACAAGGAAGAAATTGAGTTATTGGCAGTAGTACAGTACTCGACGATGTTGAGGAACGCTCAATTCAACTCAACATTCGGAAAGGAGAGATCCAAATGAGAGCTTGAACCGCCATAGCCAGCCGGAAATCTACTCGTTTCCAGTTCGATTGGTTAAAAATATATTTATACTTTAAAAAAAATTTAAACAATACCCCCAAAATTTTTAAATATTTTAAAAATACCCCAATAACTTTTAAAATCACAAAACAACCTCTCTTTTTTTTTCTTTTTTCTTTTTTTTAATTTATTGAAAAATTTATTTATTTATTTTCATTTTTTTTAGTACATAAAAACTGTCTACTGTACTCGAGGCTGTCAGTTGACCCGTAGATACTGATTGAGCAATATCTAGAAAAAGCATTTTCTTCGGTTACCATTCCATTAAAGACAAGCTTTCTTAACTCCACGGTCGAGTTTCCCCAATTCCAATACCGTGAAAAGAACGAAGTGAACTCCAAAACCTATCCTGATCCGTTTGATATCCAAAAATTGCTCAGTAACAATCGAATAAGTAGATAATGTCAGGTAAACCATAACAGTTTCAGCAATATGTAAAATTCAAATCCTCAACTTCTAAATGATGATTACGTCATCTGCGTCTATCACAAATAAACGTAAGGTCTTACTGACGTGTTCACGTCATTATTATTATTTATTTTTTATTATTATTATTTATTTATTTATTTTAGGTAAAATTACAAATATAATAAACACCCATTTATTGAAAAATTCGAAAAATATTTATTTTTTAGTCCCTCTACTTTTATTCTTTTACGGAAGTAGTCCCTGGGAAAAAATTTATTATTTATATATAAAAAAAAAAATCAATCCATAATCGAAATCCTACTCGAACTCATCCACTTCACTGCTCGAAGCTCTGCGAACTCCATCATCCATGGCTGCCTTCTCCTTCTCCTCTTCGCTCCTTCCTTCATCAGTTTCTTTCGATCATGGCTCCTCTTCCTTCTTCCCCATCCTTCTTTCACCTTCTTTCGACTCCAATTCTCGCGCTGTTCGCTGTACATTTGCAGCCCCCGCTAGAAAATCGCCTCCTCCTCCTTCTTCTTCTTCTTCTTCCTCACCGGATAAGAAGAGGCACTGGAAGCAAGGGGAATTTCCAGGTATTACGGAGACATCCGCCCCCAGGATGAACCCCGCTAGAAAATCACCTCCTCCTTCTTCTTCCTCGCCGGTTAAGAAGAAGCATTGGAAACAAGGGGAATTTCCAGGCGTTACAGAGACATTCGACGCCAGAAAGACCCCTCTCAAGAATGTCAAGAAGAAATTAGATCGCAAAATGAACGCCAAGGCTTGGGCTAACACCGTTACTGAAGCCTTGTCGGAACATATCACGAACAAACGGTGGATTCAAGCTCTTGAGGTCGCTTCCTCTTCCTTTGATTTCACTTTTTGTTTTGGGGATTTTTGTTAAATTTGTTCTGCGATCCCTCTTTTTGTTACATTTGTTCATTGTTTTGATTGATTTGAGTTTAAATCGATGAGGAATTGCATAATTTTGTAATGTGCTTTGGAATTAGCTTTTTGTCCATTTACGAACAAAGAGAAAAATGCAGAGATTCATTACTTGCTGTTCAAAGTTGAATTGGAGGCATGAAAATCCGTCTTCTCTTGCCTTAATTTGAAGGAATGAAATGATAATTTGAAGAGCCTGCATAAACTTCTTGGGCTATTGTTTTCATCTTTAACAACTGTGGCTGCTTCAATTCAACCGTTCAGGTGTTTGAAATGCTCCGCAAACAGCCATTTTATGAACCAAAAGAAGGAACTTACATGAAGCTGCTTGTTCTACTTGGAAGATCTGGCCAACCACAGCGTGCCCGTCTGCTTTTTGACACAATGGTGGAAGAAAAATGTGAACCCACCACTGAACTTTACACTGCTTTGCTTGCTGCTTATTGTCGTAACAATCTCATTGATGATGCATTTTCCCTTCTTAATCTCATGAAAACCCTCCCTTGCTGCCAGCCTGATATCTACACTTATAGTATATTAATCAAGGCTTGTGTCGATTCTTCTCGCTTTGAATTAGTTGAATCTTTGTACGAGGAAATGGCCGAACGATTGATAACTCCGAACACGGTTACTCAGAATATAGTCTTAAGTGGGTATGGAAAGATAGGGAAGTATGACCAAATGGAGAAAGTTCTTTTAGGAATGCTTGAGAGCACAACTTGTCGACCAGATGTATGGACAATGAACATAATTCTTAGTGTGTTTGGTAACAAGGGTCAGATTGAAATGATGGAAAGATGGTATGAGAAGTTTCGTAACTTCGGTATCGAGCCAGAAACGCGTACATTCAATATATTGATCGGTGCTTACGGGAAGAAAAGGATGTATGATAAAATGTCTTCTGTGATGGAGTATATGCGCAAACTGCAGTTTCCTTGGACGACCTCAACATACAACAACGTTATTGAAGCTTTTGCAGATGTGGGAGATGCAAAGAATATGGAGTACACCTTCACGCAGATGCGTGCTGAGGGCATGAAAGCAGACACCAAGACATTCTGTTGCCTTATAAATGGATATTCCAATGCAGGTCTCTTCCATAAGGTGATTGGCTCAGTTAAGTTGGCAGGAAAGTGTGAAATTCCAGAGAATACCTCATTTTATAATGCTGTTATATCTGCTTGTGCAAAGGCTGAGGATCTGATGGAAATGGATAGAGTGTTTAAGCGAATGAAAGATAAACATTGTCAGCCAGATAGCAAAACATATTCTATCATGATAGAAGCATATGAAAAGGAGGCCATGAATGACAGAGTTCATTACTTGGAACTAGAAAGGAAGCAGGTGATCGATCACGCTCCTACTAACGAGTGACTCGGAAATGGAATAGAGTGAAAAATTGGTGCACGTTTGAGAAGTTGGGCGCTACACCATGCCTGTTCCACCAAGGGCTCTTGCTACATTGGATACTTCTGAGAAAATCAAATCCGCGCTTCCAGCCCTTCCAGTTCTGTGCCAAGTGTTTCACGCTATGATCATGTGAAATGATATGAACCAAGGCATCTCACGTTAACAAGAATCAAGTTTCATTTATTCAACAAAGGTTAAGGGTTGGAATATCTCACGGAAGGTTAAGGGTTTTCATTTAGAGGCTATATAAAGTCATGTACCTTATCTTTGTAAGAGAGACTTGGAAAATGTAGTAAAATGAGCAATTTGTGCTTTCCTTTAGCCAATGACTAAGCTTCTTTTGCAATTCTATGTAGTTTAGGTTGATGATCAATCTTGCTCGTGGAGTGATTCGAATCTCAAACAACAAGTATTCTTGTCTCGAGATATTTGATCAATAAGGTAATCTGAATTTTACTTTCCCTTGTAGTGAATCTTTATTATTACGGTCAAGTGTTCTTACTTTTCCTTTGCAATTTTATGTATAGATTAGATTGCATGTTTAGAATCATTAAAGATAGATATAATTGATCTTGCTTGTGGAATGATTTAAATCTCAAATAAATGTTTTTGCCTTGAGATATTCGATCAACAAGGTAATCCGAATCTTACTTCCCTGAAGTTGATTCCTTATCATTTGGTATCAGAGTTCTTTCTTAGATTGATTCCTTATCATCATCATCCTTCGTGTGGGAAGATTGCAGCTAACTGGTTTTTATGTCTAGAGCTCGTCACAGTGAAGTTGATCAGTATTTTGTAGTTATAATAGTTTTAGGCAAACTTGCTCGTTGTTTGGGACAAAACGGCAAAAGTCTTGACGTAGTGACTACATGCCCATGTGGGCTATACATTAAATATAAATTCTTATCATTGGAACACACATTATAAAGTATATATAAATTCTTAGTCGATTACAAAAAGAAATATCTTTGAACTTTGCTTTCATTTACTTCTACTCTTTTAAAAGTTGGAATATTGCATTTGGCTTTTCGTAAACGTTTCTAAAGTACCATTGAAGCATATATCTCTTGGCCAAAAATTGAGACCTAGAATGGCGTGTCTGTAGCTTGGAATAGAAATTGGGGCTCGTATACTGCCACCGTTTGCCACTGTCGTAGGTCACTGACACACCTATTCTAGTTTCCAATTTTCATCCAACATTTGAGCGGAGTTTTTACTTTTATGGTACTTTTGAAACTTTTATGAAAAGGGTAAGAGTATGATTACAACTTCGGAAAAAATGATCAATTTTAAAACAAATGGTAAAGAGAAGTAGAGAGAGGTACCGATCATTTCGATAGCTTAAGTTTATAAGTTTATAGCTTAAGTTTTGGGACTATTTTGAAAGTTTCATTAATATTTTTAATTTTTTTAAAAACTTTAAAATATTTTTTTTTAAATATATATATACCATTTTTTTTATAAAAGAAAATTAAATAAATAATAGCCCGTTTTAAAAATATTCCTAATGCAATTTTTTTAAAATTTTATGAATAGTTTTTAAAATAGTACTTTAAAAAAAAGTATTTTTAAAATAAAATATTAATAGTTTCAATGTTTTTTAAACTTTTGATATTATTTTTATTAATTTAGTCTTAAATATTTGGTCGAATTTCATTTATTATCAACTAATTTATGAACTATGTTCTAAGTTAAATTTTGGTATAATTATCGTTTTATAATATTCTATAATTTACAATATACTACATTATACATATTTTAATTCTTAATTTATAAAAAACAAATAAATTAATAACATAAAATAATATTTTATGAGAAAAAAAATTCTTCCTAAGATATAATATTTAAAGTATATATTATTTATAGAATATATCTTAAATATTATATTTTAATATTTTTTATTTATGATTTAATTTACAGTATATTTCATTTTATTTTCAATATTTAATTATTTTATATTTTCCTCAGTTGTATGCAGCTTGTATCCTATTTAACGATATGAATATCTACGAGAATACATTTCTTCCTAATTCTATTTTTAATTCTCATTCTGAACGTCTACCATAATTTATCATTTCAAATTCAACATCTAAATACACTAAAAATATGAAAACTATCGTTCCAACTCTCACTATTTAAATCACAGAATCTAAAACGAGGTTTAAAATACAATATATTTGTTTAACTCATTTTAACTCAATCAATTGAATACATGAAAATTACAGCCACCAATGAAAATGTTCAACCAAGAACTGAACTGAAGTTCAAATAATGCATTTATTGACATGACAATCGAATTAAACTCCCAAAATGTAAGGCTTACTTGAAATCTGTTGGATTTGAAGAACTGTTGGCCTGGCCTCGCCGCTGTAGAACAACATTAGGCAAACTTGCAAACAGGAACGTGGAACTTCGAGCTACCATTTACAAAAGTACTGACAATGTGTACCAACCAGACCAAAGCAAGCCTTATGTCTCTTGTTGTCTGGATAAATGCGTATCGTTAACTAAATATTATAAACTCAGTTCATAAACTTCTATATTTGTGTTAAATAGATCTAATAGAATATAAATGGTCTAATAAATCTCTAAACTTAAAAAATGTGTACTACATTCATTAACTTTTGATCTTGTTTACAAAATCCCTCAACTTTTATTTTTGTTTTTAATAGATTTTTTTTATCTAACTCAATATTTTTACAAAGTTTAAACCTCATCTAACAACTATTTGGTTTTGAATTTTTGAAAATACCAAAAGAGTTTGTTTTCTGACCAACAAACAAACAAACAAATTCGTAGAAATTTTAGATTTTGAAGATATCTCGAGGTAAGAAAACAAAAAACTACAAAATGGAAGTAGTTTTTATAAACTAGATTAAGAAAAAAGAAAAAATCAAAGACGTTAGTGTTCTATCTAGACATAAATTTTAATTTTATATCTAATAGACTGACTCGTTTTAGAAAAGGTTGAATAGCCGAGATAGCTGGAAACAAAATTAAAATTTTAATAGCCATTTTTTAAAGTTAAAAAACATAAGAATACCGATGAACAATGAAATTTCTAAGGACTAGACTGCAATTTAAATGTAGGTTTCATGCCTTAAATTCTGTGGTACCTTTATACTCCAAATGGATCAGCCATGAGATATCTCTTTCCCAGAGCCTCCACTTCGGTGATGTGAAGAACTGCCATTAGGAATACGGAAACGAGCGATTTCATCATTCACGCGGGAGAGAAGCATTTTTGAGTGAGCCAACCTCTTGGTTAACTCATCATCCTGCACCTAATTTATTAAAATCAGATTCTCAGCAAGGGCTTGTCATATCATACAGTACAATAATTCTGGTGATTTGGACCCTACCTTGTTTAGAAATGCATGATGTCTTTCCTGTTGGCTACTTCGTGTTTGATGAAGTGTGTTCGTCTTTCCATCCAGCTCAACAATCTTCCTCTTTAGATTTTTGTTTTCCATCTAATCCAGAACGGCAGTGGAATAAGAACAATTTTGCAACAAAAGAAAGGCTTAAAAAATGGAAAAAAACCTCAGCTCAATAGAGTTAAGTCCGTATTATATCATGTATATGTGAAGTGTAATAGAGTGTACTGGAGATAAAGTAAATGCTCAGAATTACATAAGAAATGACAGAAGCATTGCTATAAGGTGTTGAGTATTTTTTGGAATTTTCACCTTCCAAAGAGTTAAGAAAACACTTTGCAGGGGGAAGGGGTCTAACGTGGATCATTATGTGCTTAGCATACCACAGGTTAGGAATCACGACTCTCCACAATGGTAAGATATTAACTTTGAGCATAAGTTCTCGTGACTTTACTTTGGACTTTCCCAGATGGTCTCATACCAATGGAGATGTATTCCTTACTTATAAACTCATGTTCCAACGATTCTAGACATACTGCATTATATTAAAAATAAAAATATGCGTAAATAGCTCGTGCTTACCTTCAGTATCCCATTCTGTACAGAAAGCAAGTGATCCCGCTCTCGTAGTTTCTCACAAGCTATTTGAGTAGCGAGTGCTTCAGCTTCCTTCTTGCTTAGTACAGATTTGTAACTATGGAAACCACCGTCATGTTAAGGTAGGCAGAAAAGAAAATTCAAAAAACCAAGCCCCACAAAAGGAAGCCCCTATTAGAGAAAGGGACTCCAATAAGGAAACAATATGTAGCTAGAGACATATTGGAGAAACCTAATTTACAGCGTTTGGAAAAGTTCTCACCATTCTCTTTCCTCATTTAAATCATTAATTTGTGTCCTCAAGTCATGAACCTCTTGTTCCTACAAGAAAAATTAATGTCAGCCCAACAGGACATAATCAAAATTAGCTAATGAAAACTATACCCTTTTCCAATTTCTACCTTTTCCCGGAATTGTTGTGACAGTAGATGAGCCTCGGTAACCATTTTCTGAACTTCGTATTGGTCTAAAAAGTTCTATATTTTTCAAGAGCAAAAATTGTCACTAATTACATGCAGGCATAATATTTGAAGTCTCAAACAAAGTGAAATTTTTGTTTATCAAAGAAAAAAAAAAGTAAAAGACTTACAGCATATTTAGTCAAGTCCAATTTGACACCAAGTAAATCCCGAATAACATCATGAGTCATACTTTCCGCTGCTGCCAGCCTAGCATTCAGTATGCATATCTGGAACAGCATAACGTCGTACATTGAGTTCAGATAAATGTACATTACTTCAATCTTTCACGAGGATTGCAGATTGCAGATAAATCATTCAGTTATTGAGCCATTTTATATACCTCTTTCTGCCGACTAGTTGCCAGTCCCTCAAGCTCCTCTATACGAAGCCTTGCTGTTGACAGCTCATGCTCCTTCTCCACGTTCATCTGATGCACCAAGTTTGAAATGCATCTGAATGGTGAACTCGAACCCCTCGGTCTAGCTGAACTTTTGTCAACTTTATCTAATGTTGGTGCAGTCATTAGATTTGAATGATCTTTGCTTGCATCCCGAACCATTACTTCCAGATTTGTGTACTGCCCCCAAAGGATACGGATGGAATTGTGATTAAAAATAACAAATTAAAGAAATGTATAACCTAATTACCACTACCAGAGTGCATGAAATTTCCAAAGTTGACTCAACAATAAACATGTTAAGATGGCATAAGAGTTGGGATACTGCACCAACACTAGTAGGCTGCCAACTTCATTGGTTGTCATAAATTATAAAACTCATACAAGCCAAGAGCTTCAAACAAATCCTTCATGATCAGGACATTAAATTGATTGGTAACCTTGTTCTTAAGTCTCATATTTTTTGCATTAACAAAAATAAAG